GGTTAACCATGGTTTTGGCGACCCTGTAGACCCTGCATACCTCCAACTACCTTTAAAGGTAATGGTACCGATACTAAGGCATTTTTAAACGATACTGACGTATAAGTGGATGATAATCGCTTTACATAGGTTGAATATACAGCTTCCAAAGCCTTGTACGAGTAACGCGGGAGCATGGTCATGTAGTGGATCATTCGCAATCACTATGGTACACAAGTAGATGGAATACAAATTCTGATTTATCTCATATTCTTCATGGTACTATATCGGCCCCTTTGCACGACCCCCCACCCTTTGGCATCGAATTGGTTCGTCAACGAGAGGTCTCAAACAAACACAGTGTTTACAGGGACCGTTCATTTGTCGAAATACGTCCAGTCCTCTTGGTCGAAAGCCATCTTTGTGGTATCGGTAAAGGGAGATAACTACGAGGTTTCACCTTTATACGTCAGGCAAAGGAGTTGGTCTGGACGGAAAGGGCTATGGTAATGCTGTGATGTTCTGTAATTAACGCGATGATATTCTCAACCCGAATGTCGGTGCTGATGGGGAAGCATCTCAAAGGGGTCTACGGAGGCTGGAGGATCTGATGGCTCTCGTTATAATAAACGGGGAGTACAGTGTCAGTATTTGGCTATAATTTGGTGATTTGTTCGAATGAGACCTTTACTTGAACTATGACGGCGCGTCGCCGCTCCTGTGGCTAATGTTATTTTGGGCCTAAGCGCCGTAGACTGCGGTCCTCTGGGCAGAAAACAAGTGCCGGTTCGAGATTGGGGGTTTATTCGCGGATTTTTGGAGACGCAGAGGTCGTGTTCAAGACGGGTTGGTTTCCAGTTAGGTGTCACCCTCACAACTCGGAACATGGCAGTTGGAGCGTGGTCTGCATGACACCGGCTCAATGGCTGTAACCGTGACTTGTTGAAGATGGACAGGATTAAATTCACATAAGAATATAAAGACAAGAATTGTGCACGGGTTTCTGAGATAGATTTAGGACGCAAACGACTTCGATTGTGGCCGCTAGTGTTGTGATCAAGGAAGTGCCGCCTTGCTCTTGGCCTCAATCTCGTGGGCCAGTGATTCGATCGGCCTGAACTCTCAAAAGTCGACAGAAGTATAGAATCGCTCGGTAGAACCGCCTATTTGCCTCGAAAACGTCTCTGCTGGGTCAGATCTCAAGCCAAGCGGGCTACCTTCCGGTCTCTCGCCCGCAAAGTACCTTCCTGATCAGCAAGGATGCCACCAAGACTAGGAAGAACTCAGTTAAGGGTCCAGAATCCAGATAACGACTCGGGCTCTAGCGAAGGAGACAGCGACCAGGATACACGATACTATGCAAACCGTGGCGTGAATGGAGTTGGCCACCTGAAACTTCGTGTCCCGTTGTCACCTGCATCCACTGGAAATAACACTCTTCAATCATTAGCTATCCAGACGCCAGTGTCGCCGCTACCGCTCTCAAATTCCCTCCCGAGCCACAGTCATATAGATAACATACCCATGCATTTTAATAGATCCCATGAGAGGCGCCCCTCGGACACCCAGCGCCCGTTTCCAGTAGGTTAAATTCCTCAACTATGCTTTGCGAAGGCCACTCTCAAGTGGATGGATGGACGCTGACTACTGCCATCGTAGAACCCTACAGCCGACCAGCCTAGAGTAATCAAAGTTCTCGCCAGCTCAGACGGTGGAGAACGGTGGGCTACTGTTGATTTGGCCGATGCAAGATCAGCTCTACTGATAAAAGAGCGCCTTTTCGCCAAGGTATGGGGACAATGGATGTCATCCCGGCGAATCATGCAGATGAATCTGACCCTTTCCAAAGCTCGAAATTCCACCCGATTATCAGACCTTTTATACAATTCACCAGCAACAAGGCGACTCCTCTGCTGGGCCACGACTTACGGATGAACAACTGG